ATTACTATCAGAAATTATACGACTCTAAAGGAAAGTTAGACCAAGAGGAATTATACAAATTTCTGGATTGAATACATATCAATGCAGAGGAGTGTAGAGTAGACGTAAATATAGAAATAAATAAAGAGGAATTAGCACAGGACATTAAAGGAATGAAATCTGGTGAGCAACCAGGACCTGATGGTATCCCCATTTAAGGACAAATTGCTCCCCCCCCTTTAGACATGTTCATGGAGTCATTTAAGCCTCTAATTATTCGCCTGCCCAAACCGGGTAAGCCTCCTAATAAATGTGAAAACCTGAGACCCATCAGTCCCCTTTAACTCTGATCTCAGATTCATCTGTAAACTATTGGCATTACGACTGCAAAGCATCTTACCAGATATTATAAATAAAGATCACAATGGGTTTGTAGTTGGGAGGCAGGGATAGCGCAATATTAGAAGGGTCCTGAATATGATTTGCTCTGCTTTCAGTGAACGCAGGGGAGGCTTTTGATAGGATCCAATGGCCCTACCGTTCAGCATATAAATGGGTTAAATATTATTGATAATCCAACTGCAGAAATAGGAAGGGTCGTCGCCAGGGATACCCTCTCTCTCCTTTACTATTCACATTAGCAATCGAGCCTTTTGGCGTCAGCTGTTCGTCTCCATCCATGAATCTGTGGGATCCGGTGGGCCCCACTCAGCAGAATATTTCTCTCTTCGCTGATGATGTTTTATTTCTAAAATATCTGAAAAACTAAATTCCGGTGGTGATGGAAATGATTCAGGAATTTGGGAGAGTCTCGGGTTACAAAGTAAATAATACAAAGGTTACTTTATACTTTTATACTTTAAGTAGTTTAAGGAGCACATACTTTTTCACTTTTACTTGAGTAAAGAGGTCAAGTTGATACTTTAACTTTTACCAGAGTGTTTTTAAACTGCAGTATCTATACTTCTACTGAAGTTACAAAAGTGTGAAGTTTTGACACCACTGCTCACTACAACCGCAGTAACTGCTGCAATGGAGAATAATTACTATTCAATACTCTGTGCAATAACCTGTTTCTCTATATCTGACATCCAGAGCAATAATTATATATATAAATATCCATCTATATAAATCCCAATGGAAACAGCCTGTGCAACAATCCAATATAATGATCCTGCTATAAAAACAAAAAGTCGTCCGATGTGGAAGCCCTGTTTATACGGTTTATATCCCGCACTGCTTTTTCTTCCTTTGGCTTCTTCTTCTTCTTTGGCTATTTGAGCTGATGGAGTGAGAAACGTTCTCCACTGTGAGATCGATCAATCAATCAATCAATCAATTTCCTTTCCAATATCTCTGTAAATTATTAAACGGTCTTTATCATTAATATAATAAAATCTCAATAAATGATGAAAAAGAAGAGCAACAGAATAAAAATTCGACCTTTCCAATATGGCGGCCCTGTTTACGCGGTATGCTCTTTAAAGTAAAACACCGGGTGAGTTTTCTTTTGAAAGTCCTAAGCGGAAGTGGTTCCACAGCTTCATCCCTGTCCAACATGTCCTCCACGCTGACCCGTCAGTAGAAGTCAGTGGGTTTGTCCGTGGATCCTTTGCCCTCAGTGAGTATCCATTCCGTGGATTTATTGTGTTTGGGTCACAGTGAGGTTCGGTTCCGTGGATCATTCCCGGTAACAAGGTCACGGTTCTGAGGTCCGCCCGGACCCGGCGGCCCGGTTCGGTTCTGCGGGCTGACATTAGGACTGCAGCGCACCTGGACCGGCCTGACGGAACCGAACCGGACCGGACCGGACCTTCGGCCCCTGAGCTGTTAGATGATCTGGTTCAATCCAGAACCATGGTTCTGGTTCTGGGTCTGGGGTGCTTCCCTCTGCCCTGATTGGTTGATTTTATAAACTGCGCATTCAATGACGTCATAACATCCAAACGGGCCGCGTGACGAAAACAATTTAAAAGCTTTAAAATTAATGGTTTGATGTAAGTTTTGGATTCACAGCAGAACTGAAATTAAAACCATAAATGAAGATGAAATAAAATATGAAATAAATTTATTCTATAATAAAATAAACATGAGAATAAAATAATTATGTATAAAATAAATCAGGCTGCTCTAACTGTTCTGTTTCTACGCTGCAGGTTAGCTCTGGTGCTCAGGCTGCTCTAACTGTTCTGTTTCTACGCTGCAGGTTAGCTCTGGTGCTCAGGCTGCTCTAACTGTTCTGTTTCTATGCTGCAGGTTAGCTCTGATGCTCAGGCTGCTCTAACTGTTCTGTTTCTACGCTGCAGGTTAGCTCTGATGCTCAGGCTGCTCTAACTGTTCTGTTTCTACGCTGCAGGTTAGCTCTGGTGCTCAGGCTGCTCTAACTGTTCTGTTTCTACGCTGCAGGTTAGCTCTGATGCTCAGGCTGCTCTAACTGTTCTGTTTCTACGCTGCAGGTTAGCTCTGGTGCTCAGGCTGCTCTAACTGTTCTGTTTCTATGCTGCAGGTTAGCTCTGATGCTCAGGCTGCTCTAACTGTTCTGTTTCTATGCTGCAGGTTAGCTCTGATGCTCAGGCTGCTCTAACTGTTCTGTTTCTACGCTGCAGGTTAGCTCTGATGCTCAGGCTGCTCTAACTGTTCTGTTTCTACGCTGCAGGTTAGCTCTGATGCTCAGGCTGCTCTAACTGTTCTGTTTCTACGCTGCAGGTTAGCTCTGGTGCTCAGGCTGCTCTAACTGTTCTGTTTCTACGCTGCAGGTTAGCTCTGATGCTCAGGCTGCTCTAACTGTTCTGTTTCTATGCTGCAGGTTAGCTCTGATGCTCAGGCTGCTCTAACTGTTCTGTTTCTACGCTGCAGGTTAGCTCTGGTGCTCAGGCTGCTCTAACTGTTCTGTTTCTACGCTGCAGGTTAGCTCTGATGCTCAGGCTGCTCTAACTGTTCTGTTTCTACGCTGCAGGTTAGCTCTGGTGCTCAGGCTGCTCTAACTGTTCTGTTTCTACGCTGCAGGTTAGCTCTGATGCTCAGGCTGCTCTAACTGTTCTGTTTCTACGCTGCAGGTTAGCTCTGGTGCTCAGGCTGCTCTAACTGTTCTGTTTCTATGCTGCAGGTTAGCTCTGATGCTCAGGCTGCTCTAACTGTTCTGTTTCTATGCTGCAGGTTAGCTCTGATGCTCAGGCTGCTCTAACTGTTCTGTTTCTACGCTGCAGGTTAGCTCTGATGCTCAGGCTGCTCTAACTGTTCTGTTTCTACGCTGCAGGTTAGCTCTGATGCTCAGGCTGCTCTAACTGTTCTGTTTCTACGCTGCAGGTTAGCTCTGGTGCTCAGGCTGCTCTAACTGTTCTGTTTCTACGCTGCAGGTTAGCTCTGGTGCTCAGGCTGCTCTAACTGTTCTGTTTCTACGCTGCAGGTTAGCTCTGATGCTCAGGCTGCTCTAACTGTTCTGTTTCTACGCTGCAGGTTAGCTCTGGTGCTCAGGCTGCTCTAACTGTTCTGTTTCTACGCTGCAGGTTAGCTCTGATGCTCAGGCTGCTCTAACTGTTCTGTTTCTACGCTGCAGGTTAGCTCTGGTGCTCAGGCTGCTCTAACTGTTCTGTTTCTATGCTGCAGGTTAGCTCTGATGCTCAGGCTGCTCTAACTGTTCTGTTTCTATGCTGCAGGTTAGCTCTGATGCTCAGGCTGCTCTAACTGTTCTGTTTCTACGCTGCAGGTTAGCTCTGATGCTCAGGCTGCTCTAACTGTTCTGTTTCTACGCTGCAGGTTAGCTCTGATGCTCAGGCTGCTCTAACTGTTCTGTTTCTACGCTGCAGGTTAGCTCTGGTGCTCAGGCTGCTCTAACTGTTCTGTTTCTACGCTGCAGGTTAGCTCTGGTGCTCAGGCTGCTCTAACTGTTCTGTTTCTACGCTGCAGGTTAGCTCTGATGCTCAGGCTGCTCTAACTGTTCTGTTTCTATGCTGCAGGTTAGCTCTGATGCTCAGGCTGCTCTAACTGTTCTGTTTCTACGCTGCAGGTTAGCTCTGGTGCTCAGGCTGCTCTAACTGTTCTGTTTCTACGCTGCAGGTTAGCTCTGATGCTCAGGCTGCTCTAACTGTTCTGTTTCTACGCTGCAGGTTAGCTCTGGTGCTCAGGCTGCTCTAACTGTTCTGTTTCTACGCTGCAGGTTAGCTCTGATGCTCAGGCTGCTCTAACTGTTCTGTTTCTACGCTGCAGGTTAGCTCTGGTGCTCAGGCTGCTCTAACTGTTCTGTTTCTACGCTGCAGGTTAGCTCTGGTGCTCAGGCTGCTCTAACTGTTCTGTTTCTACGCTGCAGGTTAGCTCTGGTGCTCAGGCTGCTCTAACTGTTCTGTTTCTACGCTGCAGGTTAGCTCTGATGCTCAGGCTGCTCTAACTGTTCTGTTTCTACGCTGCAGGTTAGCTCTGGTGCTCAGGCTGCTCTAACTGTTCTGTTTCTATGCTGCAGGTTAGCTCTGATGCTCAGGCTGCTCTAACTGTTCTGTTTCTACGCTGCAGGTTAGCTCTGATGCTCAGGCTGCTCTAACTGTTCTGTTTCTACGCTGCAGGTTAGCTCTGATGCTCAGGCTGCTCTAACTGTTCTGTTTCTACGCTGCAGGTTAGCTCTGATGCTCAGGCTGCTCTAACTGTTCTGTTTCTACGCTGCAGGTTAGCTCTGATGCTCAGGCTGCTCTAACTGTTCTGTTTCTACGCTGCAGGTTAGCTCTGATGCTCAGGCTGCTCTAACTGTTCTATTTCTACGCTGCAGGTTAGCTCTGGTGCTCAGGCTGCTCTAACTGTTCTGTTTCTACGCTGCAGGTTAGCTCTGGTGCTCAGGCTGCTCTAACTGTTCTGTTTCTATGCTGCAGGTTAGCTCTGATGCTCAGGCTGCTCTAACTGTTCTGTTTCTACGCTGCAGGTTAGCTCTGATGCTCAGGCTGCTCTAACTGTTCTGTTTCTATGCTGCAGGTTAGCTCTGATGCTCAGGCTGCTCTAACTGTTCTGTTTCTACGCTGCAGGTTAGCTCTGATGCTCAGGCTGCTCTAACTGTTCTGTTTCTACGCTGCAGGTTAGCTCTGATGCTCAGGCTGCTCTAACTGTTCTGTTTCTATGCTGCAGGTTAGCTCTGATGCTCAGGCTGCTCTAACTGTTCTGTTTCTATGCTGCAGGTTAGCTCTGATGCTCAGGCTGCTCTAACTGTTCTGTTTCTACGCTGCAGGTTAGCTCTGATGCTCAGGCTGCTCTAACTGTTCTGTTTCTATGCTGCAGGTTAGCTCTGATGCTCAGGCTGCTCTAACTGTTCTGTTTCTATGCTGCAGGTTAGCTCTGATGCTCAGGCTGCTCTAACTGTTCTGTTTCTACGCTGCAGGTTAGCTCTGATGCTCAGGCTGCTCTAACTGTTCTGTTTCTATGCTGCAGGACCCAGAACCGCAGCAGCATCATCATCAATGGTGTGTCTACATCCCAGAGCCGTCACATTCTCCTGTGTGTGCTCGATGACCTCTGACCTCCCCGGCTGTCGTCACGGTGAGTGTTTCTAGCGGAGTTGTGAGCGCGGCGGCGCGGAGCCTCACCGTCTCTCTCCTGCAGGCTGCACCTGCATGGCGTTAGCGAGGCTGGGAGGAGAGTTCTGCCAAGCTCAGCACCTGCTGCTTATTGTGGACAAGTGAAGAGGAGGACCAGCAGCGAGGCCCTTGGCTCCGCCCACACCCAGGTCAGAGACCGCGGGGCCCTCAGGGGCCGATTCTGCCCATAGCGGTGGGGTAACGGCTGCGTCTGTGGTGTTCAGGTCCGTACCGCCATCCTGTCGTATGAAGACGAGTCGACCCTCCGCCTGCCAGCCGTCCTGGAGGAGGAGAGACCTGCAGCTGCACTCCGCCCCTTTCTTCTTCTTCTTCTTCTTCTTCTTCTTCTTCTTCTTCTCTGGTTCCTCAGAGCAGTAGACCAGTTCATTCCTCCCAGGTGAGCCCAGCAGATTTCTGTTGCCAATGTTTCAACCTGTTCCCTCTAGTTAGAACCCTGCTATGCATGTTTATAGAGCAGACACAGAGTTCTCCTGGAAGATCCTCCTCCTCTGAAGCACCATGAACCGCCCGGCGCCGGTGGAGATCTCCTACGACTGCCTGAGGTTCCTCATCACGCACAACCCCACCAACGCACAGCTGGGGAAGTTCATCGAGGTACGGACCTATGGGACACTGGTTCTGCTGCAGAACCTGCAGGATCTGCAGGATCAGGTTCTGCAGGATCAGGTTCTGCAGGATCTACAGGATCAGGTTCTACAGGATCTGCAGGATCAGGTTCTGCAGGATCTACAGGATCAGGTTCTACAGGATCTGCAGGATCTGGTTCTACAGGATCTGCAGGATCTGGTTCTCGTGGTTCTGCAGAACAGAGCTGAGCAGCTGTGTTTCCCTGAGCAGGACCTGAAGGCGTACGGAGTGAGCACCCTGGTGAGGGTCTGCACTGCGACCTACGATAAAGTTCCGGTGGAACAGGAAGGGATCCAGGTTCTGGTGAGGCCTGCAGAACCTCCCACCACCTTGCTGAGGACTGAAACCCGGTTCTACCCTCAGCTCTCTCCTCTCTGCAGGATTGGCCCTTTGAGGATGGCTCCGCCCCCCCAGAGCAGGTGATTGATGACTGGCTGAACCTGCTGCAGGTGAAGTTCAGGGAGGAGCCTGGCGGCTGCGTGGGCGTGCACTGTGTGGCCGGACTGGGACGGTCAGTAGAACCTCTGCTGTTAGAACCTTAGCACTGATAGCCCAGAACTCTGCAGAACCTCCAAGGTTCTGGCCCGTTTCCCCTCCTTCTGAAGCTAACTAGGCTAATAAAGCTAACTAGGCTAATAAAGCTAACCAGGCTAATAAAACTGATAAGGTTAATAATGCTGATAAATCTTTTTTAGCGTTTTAAAATT